AGCTACCTTATTAATTCTTTCGTCGTATATATTATCTATGTATATACATCAAAAACAACGTATTTGCGGCGCGATGATAATGGAATAGGTAAGGTACGCATCACATTCCATCGGTTGATGGATCGCACGAATCTGTTGCGGTTCCCCGAGATACCTTCTAAACTTTAATTTATTCTTTTACGAACACGAAGGTAAATTTTAGAAATAAATATGTTTAGCTCTATCAATAGAGGTAAATTTTTCAAATACTCAATTTGTATTATTATGTTTATGTTTTCAATAATTTGAGGCTTTCAGTGAATTTTCAATAAAACTTCGTTCTTATTTGCTTTGGAAAACAATATTTTTATGTTTTAAATAAAGAAATAATTACCATTTAGGCCAACAATAATCATTGTATTTAAACAATGCTCCTCTTGCCTATAAATAATGCAGATGATAGGAAATTATAATTATTAACTTTGTATACCTATTTTATCTTTTTCAACACAGATGTATTTAACTTTATAATTGTTGAGAAATGATAATTTGTATTGAGTATTTCCTTAGTTAAAAAAAAAAATAAAAGTTCTCGAGACGATGTCATTATACTTGCTAACATTTAGAAATATTATTTATTAACTTATACATTTTTTAATCAATTTTCCTTCATTATAAAAACCTCAGAAATTTTTTATTTTTTAAATTATGTTAGCGCACTGTTTGTTTTCTCTCTGACCCACCCGCAACATAGCATATTTTACGTTCACAATAATCTTTATGATCATATTAATTTTCTAAAATGAGAGTGAAATTACCTCTTATAAAATTTAAAGGTGAGATTATTATCTAGGGCATCTCGTGAGTGTTTGATTATATTTTAATTTTAAAGCGAGTTATGAGTATTTAAAAATTGTAAATTGTAAATTGTCAGTACATATTAAAATACTTTTAACTCGCCCTTAAAATTAAAAATTTATAAAAGTGCCTATTTTTTGACTTAGATAATAATCTTACCTTTAAATTTTATAAGAGGTAATTTCATTCTAATTTGAGAAATTAATATGATTATAAACATTATTGTGAACGTACAGTTTTCCATGATACTCGTGGGTCGTAGAGAGAAAACACATACTGCCCTGACATCCTCTTAAGTTTGTAGTAAATAATATGTCCTGGTTTGTTATTAGCTTTAAATATTTAAAACTCAAATCCGCTGATGTTCATTTGGATTCAAATTTAAAACTTTAAGTTTATGCTGTCAACAAATAACCTGTCTATTTATACACCGAACGTATTATGAAGCGGCTATTCTAATACTGACGACAAATTTGTATGCCATTAGACGATAGTACTCCAAAGTTTTTCATGTTGTGTACAATTATCCTTGAAATTAAGGACTCCGTTTTTGCTTTTTACGCAATGCGTGACAAATTAATCGAGTATCAACGACTGTCAAAAATAAAATGTACTTATGTCTTATACCCAAGGAGCCGAGTTAAATGTGTTACGAAAGAAGAATGTTGAGTAAAAAATGTTTTAAAAATTTATAAACCTCGAGATAATTAAAATTGTTTTTTGTTCTAAAAAATTCGTAATTGATTCGGTTTTTTTAAAATTAGAAAACTCGTGAACTACTTCCATGAAAGGTTTTACGTTGTTTTGTAAACATATGTGATTTAGAGTTCAACTATACTCCCGTTAGTATTATGTATCAACAAATTAAACTTTTTAGTCCAAAGGAAATATTATTCATCGGTTAGCTAAACCATTGAGTTTTATTAAACAATTGTTTGTAAAACATATTTAATTAAATTTAAATGTTGTATCAAAACCATTTTATTAACAGTTAAAAAATAAATACAACATAATAATAACTTTAGAGAACTTAAATTTATGGAGTGATGCAGCCCTTGGCTCGAAGGCACTCCAATCATAATAGATATTAGAAAAATGATAGTGCAAGTTAGCTCTTCGAGATTTTCTTAGTCTAATGATTGAATTAGTACTTAAGGTTGTTATTATTATTCACTAGAGAAGTTGTTTACATACTTTTACGATTTCCGCTTATAATTAAATGTACAGTTATTATAATTATTCAACTACCTATGGAAAACGCAGTTATTTGTCTTTTTGTTAATTTGTTTGTTAAATAGTTTTATAATTTGTTTGATAGTTAAAAATATATAATAATACGGGGTTGAATAACGAAATTGATATAATATTATTATAATGTTTATTTTTTAGTGTTGTTAATTGAATTATCTTGATATTTTCTGATTCTATTTTTAAAATGTTGCTTTCATTGTAACAGGTATAGAGGAAAAATAGTAATTGAATAAACGCGATTTATTACTCTCTGTATAATATTGGACTATTATGACAAAAATAGTATCATACTATCTGTATCCGATCAAAGGTCATTATTGTGGATGACAATATTTGTTACCTCTTTGACATTTGTGTTATGGGTTTGACGTATTATGTTATTGTTCCCTTTCATTTTTCCCCAGAAAAATATTTTAAATTAAATTAAAACCTTTTTACCAGATTTGGGAGTTTTGAGGGTTAACTTAAAATATGTCAGCAAATTCCTACGAAAATACCAAAAATGTATGTTTAATGTGTTGTTGAATGGCTATATATGATATATATGATTACTCTATGTGTATAACTCTCTTGTATAACTTATAAGATATTACGATATTTGTATCTACTGAAAAAATTGTTGTTTGGCACGACGAAGCGTCAAATCGTCAAGTTTTAAATGTTTTTAAAAAAACCCTATAATCAGATACATCTATATACCTTATGAGTAAGGTATATGGAGGTGTATCCTACATTCTTGTATAGTGTTATCAAGTTAAGACGATGACCAGATGACCGTCTAAAACCGGTTAGGTATCATGTTCACTGGTCATCGTCTTAATTTGGTCGCACTATACACACATAAATTAGGCACCCATCATAAACGCAGCTCGAAGTTGAATCAATAAAAGTTTAGCGCATTTAATAGACATAACATACGGTAAACAAGGATAACGATTTGTTGATAAATCTTTTTATTTATCATCAATGCCTTTTCCGTTAAACTCTCAAAACCGTTAAAATGATTATTTTTGAAAAAAGTGAGTAAAAATAAATCAAAATAAATCATAAAATATTTTGGTATTTGCTTCAAGTTGGACTTTGTACGTGGGTATAGGACCCAGCGGCGCATCGGTAAATGGTACATAATAATACATAATGTAAAATACGAAAACAAACAACGACGGTAGCTGAGGGAAAACCGCGCGCAACACAACAACAACAATGATAATATAATAGAAGGTAGGTACATAACAATATAAACGCGAGTACGACGACGTAGCTGGGTGGTAGCTGTATAGCTATTTCGACGGCCGTTTCAAAGTTTTGGACGAGACACGAGTCGGTGGTCGGGCGGGTTATCGCACGCGTCATCGCTCTGTCATTTCGGGGCTTACAACGAATTTACTACTACCTACACGTGTACACAATATTATGTACCTGCGTGCCGCGGCTATGTTGTTGTACTACTTGTACTCGTTATTATTATTCAGTGCTTCTATATTTAATAATAAATACACACTGTGTACACGTAATAATATATAATATTGTAATGAGTAAGTCGGGCGTCACTGCTGATAACAGATTCATATAGTCGATTTCGACGATCAAAATATAATAATAATATTATATACATACCTACCGACGTATGTTATATATTATGATGCTGCCGAGCGCTCCGACCACGAGACGCGGGGTCGGGGCCCTCGTCATTCCTGCGGCCGCGGCGGCGGTGGCACACGCCAGTCAACAACAGCCAAAGCAGCACCAGTTATGAGCCCTGTGAGTGACAAACGATCTACCTTTACCTCCACCGTCTGTATTATACATCATAGTATACACACGCACACACAAACATTATACTCGAGCGATACGACGACTTCTAAGGACTATTTATCCGACCACCCTCACCCTGCGCGCCCGGGACCTGCCACTCGGGTATTTGCCCATATTATTATTATTATTATTATTACGTGCAGGGGAAAACAGATTTTGAAAACGAAACGACGATAAAATAATGTCCGACGATATTTCATTAACGACGCAAATGCGATCTGCAGACGTTTGCTCGCGAAAAATATTCGTAGAAACTCAGCTCAATCGAATGTCCTCCGCCGCCGCCGCCGCATAGTCGCCGCCGGACAACCGACAAACGAGCACTGCACCGAAATATTTACCGACGTAAAAATCAATCACTCGCCTTTTACAAACGATAACTATTATTATTATTATTATTATTATACTTATTTTACAAACCTTTGATACGCATTATAATTCGAATGATCGATGATCTATTTATATATATATTTATTTTTTTTTTTACTCGCGACAATAAATCAGATTTTTACCAGCGCATAAATAACAATTGTTTTCAACAGCCTGCAATCGCATAATATATAATATACTCGTACTATGTATAATATTATATATTTGTATAATTCGGTCAGTTTGAATGTCAACGACGAACCCGAAATGGAAACCGAAATAAATGTTTAAACATTTTTCACTTTCCAAAACCCGAATATTCAAATATTCTGTAGATGTTTACATCTCAGCTGTTGCAGTGTGTGTCGAAAATCACCAAATAATAAATTATGGCAACACCATAGCTGTTTTAAATACTGTTATATCATAAAGGTAAATTTGAATTCCGCGGAAAACATGTGTCGATAATTTATTTGCAGGAATTATTCGTACAAATCCTCAGAACCCGACAGATATAACAGTATGAAACAGTAAGAAATAGCTAAAAAAAATAAACACACTTATAGAATAATACCTATAATTAATATTTTCAAGTACACCAAAATTGGTTATTGTCGTTTTATGGTTTTCTATTGTAACATTTTCAATAATTCTGCTCGACGACTATTAGATGTATAAATGTATACGCATAAATCTTAAATCTTAATGTTTATGTTGATTTCAGTGACATGGTGATGGGTGAGGGTGACGGTGATATGGAAGGCGGGGGTGGCGGGAACGACGAGTGCGTGGAAGACGGCGATGAAGAGTTAGTAGCAATGATGGGGCCACCTACAACGTTTTGTGGTAATAACAAGTGCAAGAAAATCAGGAGACCTCTGCCACCCCGGGAGACGTGGAAGAAGAAAATCGAATTCTTGTTGGCGGTAGTCGGTTTTGCTGTCGATTTGGGCAATGTGTGGAGATTTCCTTACATCTGTTATCAGAACGGCGGAGGTAATTATTATTTTTTCTTTTTTAATACTTTTTAGAATTAAGTTCTGAAATAGGTATACCAATAGCCAGGTATATTAAGAACGATTTAGCCATTTAGATACATTTTCCGATGAATGGTTTCTATTTTAAACAACGAAGAGTCAAAACATATAATTATGAACTAAAGTTTCAATATGATTTTACACATTTCTACTGTATATTGTAATGAGCATTGAGCTTTAAGGTTTAGGTTCTTAAGTATGAGTTTTCTTACAGAAGCGAGTTTCAGTTAAAAATGGTTGTTATCAAACACACTCGATTATATGAGTTTATCAGACCTATTAGTTATTAAATTCTTGGAAAGCAGTTATTTTTATCATCATTGAATTAATTATGCGCTTTCGTCAAGATAATTTCTAAGTTAATATAATTTGAAAGTTCAACTTAAAATTATAAGAATTCTTATAGTTCATATAATATAATATTAATTATAATATATAAAGACACATTGTGTTCTACAACTTTTATTTAATACCCATTAGGTATTTTAATTATTTTAAGTGTTATTTACATTTTTGACTTTCGGTTAGAGTTTTATTTGAGTACTATATTATTAAAATATTTGTATTTTTAAATATAATTGTTTTGTTTTTATCAACTCCTTAATGTATTGATAAGTTATTTAAAGGTTCATTTTGTAATATTTATCAATTTAATGAATTCAACTAGACTTTAGATGTTTAAATTGAGTGCGTTTAATCCATAATCTATAGTTATGTATGAAATAGAAATATTAAAATAAATGATACAACAACTTTTTGAGCCCTCTCTTAAGTTTGGCGTGAACTTCTACCATTAAAACCGTATGAAATTAAACTATAACTCCTAACCCTCTAATAGATTTGTCGAAGGAACTAATATTAAAACATTTGTTAAAAATACAAACTTACAATTTGTTTTAATACCCGACTAATTATTTATGTTATCTTCATACAAATATTGTATTAAAAAGATAATTTTAACTTTCATCGTTATAATAGAATAGGTATAGCAGTATAGGTACTAAATGCATCGAAAGAAAATAGGTATGAGCTGCATACATTTATACTCCCCTAAATTTATTATTATTATTTATTATACTTGGTTTTATCAGTTTATTTATTATTTTTGTTTATGTTTATGGTTAATTTATCTTTGTGACAGGTATTAAATGATTTGAAATTTACCAATTTTTTTTTATTATGTCTAGACGTGTAGTATTCATACCATTTGTGCTGCTTGCTCAATCAAATATGTAGAGCTAGGTTTTTTTGGTACACATTATTAGGTAAACAACACTTTACCGGGAGAAAACATGTAGTAGGTCACAGAAATCTCGTTTAAAAAATTATGATTTCGTTGTAAGCACTGTAATTTTCATTAAAATTTATAATTAAATTTGAAATAATCTAATAAATATGGTTTCTGGACGTTTGTAATAAGTGGGAATTCGTGTACAAAAAATCAAACCATTTTGATGGAGGTAGTAAAGTAGATTCAAACCAAATATACATGTTTAATTGATTGCTACAGTAGAAATATTAAAAAATCATAATATTACTGAAACGAATTGGTATACATTGTTATTGTAATAATAAAAATAATTTTTTTTTTTGGCTACCATCAGTAAATATAAAATACATCAGTTGTAGCCTGTGCTCTATAGGTCAACTGGACAATATCAGTTTTGACATGGTGTTTGTCAAAAATATAATTATTAGTTGGCCGAGGTTCCAAATTATTAATTACACTAATAAGTAATAAGAAATTTATTCGTTTGATGCACGATTTGTTTCAGTTAGTAATTAACTTATTATTATTATTCGTCTATCTACTTGTTAAAAAAAAAAATAAAACATTAAAACGCAATGCATACATCCATATTCCGTGCCTAAAAATGAATTTATTAAGTTACAATTTTCGTTTTATTAGCAACAGCCTACATACAAGTACTAATAATATTATCGTGCAGAACTTGGAACTATGATTTATAATACTACTTAATATCGGTTTAAAAATATTTCTGTCGTGTGGTTGATTTTCGGGCGTAAAGTCGACACTATAATATGTTATACCTTTATTTATATACCATAGAATATTATTGTTAAGTAAGTATATGTCTTATAAAACAAGTTAATGAAAATTAATTCTTCGTAGGTATATTTCGAATAATTAAGTTGATTATTCATTTGCGTGCTACTATGATGATTGAAAAGTCTTATTAATTTTTCATCGTTAGTAAATGTAATACTTGTCTGAAGAGCGGGGTACCTGTTTTTCCAATTTTCCGAAATTCTTTAAAATTTGAAAATTATTATACTTTTCCACTAACTTACAGTTCGATACCTATTTACCCGGGGGTTGATACGGTGTATTAAATCAACAAAAATGGCTTCACAGGAAAAATCCTCACGCTCTGTAAAATAACCAGATTTCGTTAATTTTTCAGGTCGGATCAAAGGCTGAATTTTACTTTAAATAGTGGTAGAAAATAAGTTGGAAAACGAACAAATATTGTGCATTAATCAAATGCATATTTTAGCTTCTATAATTATATTTTTGAAAATCGGGTTGTAATCCAACCTGCAAAATGTTCTCTAATTTAAATAAAAAAAAATTAACGAAATCTGATTATTCTACAGAGTGTGAGATTTTTTCTTGTAAGACATGTTTTTGTACTGAGAAACGCACCGGCTCCGACGCCCCCAAGTAAAAATATTTGAAACAAAAAAACCACCCTACACTCGTTATTGTATACATTATTTAACTGAAAAGTTTGATATGTTGTATAAATATTTAATTAACGTTTAGCGCGGGGACGGGAAATTCAAAAAATATAATAACAGCCAGAGTTCCAACAACACCTAGAACCGATAGTCATATTTAAAGGATATAATAAATAGATGTTATTTTTATGCGGTAGGTATATGGAAAAATAGACATTGCTTAGATAATAAACTAATAATAATATGTAGTCTTGTACTGGTTTAAAACTATTCGATGATACATCTCAGAACACGGATGTAGTGATTGATGTGAAATCAATTCACCCGGTTTTTCCCGACTCGGTAAACCGCATCAATTCTGCCGGCCCCACTACATTTAAAAGGAAATAATAGTATTTCTGTTGTCGCAGTTTCTATTGTGATGACGATGTGTCTATATATGTATTTCAGTATTTGAGATTTATACATATATGGCACACGGCTCGAAGTTCTAAAGACCAAATGCACTTACTTTCATAGTGTAATTCACACGTTGAAAATATAGTTTCATAATCGGTTCAAGCAAGCTGGTTACTCTGTACGATGTATTGTTAAAAATGCAAAACGTGGACACTTTATGTGCACAAAGCAGTTTCATACGAAAAATAAGTAAATCTCGACGGGGTATTATACACTGAGACTGAGTGCATAGGTGCGTTTGAGAAAAAATACCAATTGTAACATGCAAACAACAATTGTCCTTAAATCCTACTAATACTATATAATAATGTAATATTTTATATTATTAAATCTTTCGATTATTAGGTACAATGTCGTAATAATAATCAAGGTAAATATATTATAGATGTACAGATGACTTAGGTGTAAGAAAATGTGCCTCCACTTATAAATATGACCGGCAATGTTTTAAAACTATTTTAGTAAAATATATGTTTTTGTGTTAAATATAATATTGTAATGTTCTGATTATTATTGAAAAATAAAATAATTGAATTTACTTGATTATAGGTGCGTTTCTTATACCGTACGTGGTGATGTTGGTATTTGGTGGCTTGCCTTTGTTTTACATGGAATTGGCACTGGGACAGTTCCATCGATGTGGATGTCTCACAGTGTGGAAGAAGATTTGCCCGGCTCTTAAAGGTAGGGTATTTAAATTTTCACATTATCAAAAACAAGTCGTGGAATGCTTTGAACGCGTGCAGTAAAGGAATGTTCTATAACGAAACAATTTGCTTGGAGAATTATCAATTTAGAAATAGGGGCAGCCAGCAATAATGCAAGTCTTAAATCAATGACGAGAGAGGAGGGAAACGGGGAAAAAAATATAAAAAGGTTTCAAGAATCGAAAATACTTAGGATGAATATCCGGTCTTTTATGATAATTGAAAGATGATCTGCTGTATTGGCCGGAACTTTTGTTTTTTATTCTCTTGTTTTCAGTTGCATTATCAGTAGCTGCACAAAAGAGTAACTAGGAAATTAAAAAATAAAGAAAAGAGAATACGAGGACGCCGGGAGAGAACGAAAGCAATTGATTCCTGAGAGCATTTTCAAGTCTACGACAAACATCGAGCCTTTGAATTATACATTAAATGCAAAAACGCGAAACAAATAAAACGATAGAGCTTATTTAAAACGGCGCGGTATCGACTAATAAATTATTGGCCAATAGGGAAATATTATATGGTTGCTTCAAATATTTGGTTACTTTACTATGTTGTTTGTATTCGTTTAGTTTTTTTCTCTGTATTATCCCTAGTAAGAGTTTTTCAATAGCCATTGTATTCACAGAGTTCCAATAATTGAAAAAGAAAAATACATTCTCTCCTAAACACCTGAACAAATAATCGGCTCGTAAATAAAACTGAGACATATTTTAAAATATTGATAATATTAATCTTAGCATTGGTCTTTATTGACAATTCAATGATCTTAAAATCTTGGTTTTTTAGTATGGCTCACGCATTGATATTTTATGCGAGCAGTTGTTCATTATGATTAGTTGTAGTTGTAGTAGTACTCGTACTTTTAATATTAAATAGTATACCTAGTATGTCTGTAGTAAGTTTTACCGACTAGTTTATATTTTATTCTATTGTTGTCTGGAATTTTGATCGATATTATTCAATCATTTAAATATATAAATAAATAGATTTAAATAGATAAATAACAAAAGTTTATCTCCTTCGGTTGTTACGATTAATGGTTTAAATACGTTTAATACATCTAGCCTTCTAGGTAATCGAAACAAAAAGAAAGGTAAAGATTTGCTTCGTCAAAAAAATCTGCTTTACGAATAAAAGTAATTATTTATACTTAGGTATAGGTACATATTTAACTTATTTACTTGATAACATAGTAACAGAATTATATACCCAATTATTTAAATCATAATCATTCTGTTTGTCTACAATAATATTATCAGAATAATTGTCTTCGCCTTTATCGAAGTCTCGTAGTATAGTTGAGAAAATGATTTACAATAATAATAATTATAATTTATTTGACCAGTATATAGGTAATATAAATAATTATTATATACCTACTACGATTTAATCGATATTATCGTATTTAAACGATTATTTTTGTGTAGTACTCTTTGGATCTTCGAATTAACGTACAGAGTCGGTCTAACTATGGACGGGGATAATGTTATATTATGTCACGCGACATGAAAACATAAAACAATTTGTCGTTGTTTTGAATTTCTCCTGACACTATGAGAATAAAAAAAACCGATCCGTGATGTAAGATCACGCGGTTTCTGGCCTTAAGCAATTTTCCATTGTCAATATTGACGTTCGCTCTATAACAACTGTTTTGTATATTATGTCTGTCGTCGTGACCGTAGCCGCGATCGACTGCTGCTGTTACCCTCACGACAAATATTTACACGCCATCACTTAAGCCACGATGGCGCTTAACGTTCTAGTCAAACCGATATTCGGTGAAACTGACGAAAATATAATAATATATTATTATAATTAAACAGCAGCAAACAGTTTGGGCCATAATATTATAACGCGAAATCGCGGCTGTCATTGTAAACAGCTAGTTGACAACCCCTCCCCCCCCGATTCTACCCCCCCAAAAAATCGGGTTTGTTTTATTGCAATAAATAATTTTGTTTTCCTTATACTCTCGATTCTTTCGCATCGTTATACTGCCGCCGTGTCCTCTGCTACGTGCCCGTACGTAATTTTTGATGTGCTGCACCGTAGGCTGCAGAGGCGCAAACGTGCGTTGTCGGTAGCACGAGACAAAGTAATGATTTGGCCAATAAAATGAGAGGTCGGGGAAAAAAAAAAAATTGCAGAATAGTCGCGCATACGGGTTTTTGCCGATTTTATTCGGATCATCAATTTTTGCCTTTCACCGTTAGCGAACCGTATATAGGAGCGATTTACGATATTCGCAGTACCGAGAAAAATATATAGTTACCTAGGGGCTACGACGTATGGTATAATATAATGACAATCGGATTTCAAAAAAAACTTCACGGACGTGTTAAAACAGTTTTAGCGTTAATTTACTTTGTCGTTTTGATATAGGATAAACTAAGGGCTGCACCTCGTCAGTCTGGCTTTCAAACCAATTTATGATTATTTCTCTCTAAACATATTTTAACGTTTAAACAACAATATTCGTACCTATATTAAGCTCTTTAAATAATAATATGTAAAAGCCTGAAGCTTTTGTATTTTTTTATTTCTTTTTAATTATTTTATAATATCACCTAATCTAAATTAAAATCGTTTTCCAAATGTCAAAATATACAAGCTCGTAATAATACGCTTTGATATAATTGTTCTAAATAATGATTTACGTGGTGTTATAATTAGCTAATTAAAAAATTAAGATTTTAACCTTTAATTTCGCGTCCGATGAGAAAATTATTTTCAGTGCAGTTCTAAACCTGCATAATTATCATATCTTAGTTTACAGAGTTGGTTTTTATTACTTACATACACCGTTAAAAGTTGGGCCTCGATACTTTTGATCGCAATCAAATTTTTAAATACTAACAATAATACTATACATTTTTTTTTATTTAATTTAAATTAATTTACAATCTGTACAAAACTATTACAATAAATAAATATTATATTACAATAATAAAATGACATGAATGTCGTGATTGAGGAAGAAACCCGTTGGTAACGACCATAGGTACTATTAGTACATAATTTTTGGTTAAAACAAAACTTGTTCGTAAAAATCAAAGTATAAAACAACGTCCAAAAAGACCGGTATTGCCCACGCAAAATATATTTTTGTTAAATACTTTTTTACAACTGCCAATACCGGCTATAACAAAATTGTATGACGTCAAATATAAGTTAAAACGAACATTAAAAAAATTTGGTTCAGATAGACACTTAAACGGTTAAACCCAAGCGTAAAACATTTTACACCATTCTTATTTCGTTCCTATTTCGTTTGAAAGTCATGTATAAATTATTATAGGTATGTACTTTAAAAACGTTGACTTTTAGGTATTTCAATAGTGTATGAGAAAATATTGAAAAAATAACAAGACAATATTGACGAATGTAATATAGGCACCTAAGCACCAGTTCTTTTTAAAAAAAAAAAACTTAGACTATTTTTCTAATAACCAGTGAGGTATGATCAGTATCATTTTTCAGATGAAATGATTTATTATCGCTTTCAAATTTAAAGACATTCGCCCTAGTTGCAGTGTCACACCCAAATCATGCAGAAAACTTTTTGAAAACTATGCAGTTTGAAACTAAAAATAACCTTTTTATCCTTAAGAATGTTACAAAGTTTTGTGCTCTTAATAATATATCATAAAATGTACCGAGGTTTTGATATCTTATTTATCAACTGGATAATATACAATCAATTATTTATTGAAAAGATATGAATTCAAAAAAACGATTTTATGTTTTTATTTTGTAACTATCATAGTACCATTTTTTTCTATAAAGGAATATTGTAGCCCGTAATAAGTAAGTTTTTCTCTATTTTGCACTAGAATATAATTCTTCCAGATAAAGTAAATTGTGATTTTATGACGTGTGGCAGATAAGCTATAATTATTAGGAAAGCCTATCGATAATACTCGAAACAATTTAATTCAAGATCCGGGGTCCGATTTATTTAGTATTGCGGCATCTGTTGTTTTAAGTTTTCCTACCCATTCAGCAGGTGTTCCGTAATCCATTTTATACCCTTCTAAACCCTTCATAATGACTCAATAAAATCACTATAAGGATTACGCACTATCCATAGTAATAACTAATAAGTAATAGCAGTGTTTTAGCAATGCTGTTAGTTTAATTCGGGGTTAAATCCGCACGTGAATATACTTGTAAACATATTATTATTTTTAGTTTATAACTATTAAATTTAAATTTAAAAATGAAATATTTAATCAAAAGTTAATGAAAAGAATATAACGGTATTAAATCATTTAGTAAATAGTATATAATACATAATATAGACTATAGTACATTAAAGTATATATATACAATAGTATATAGTATATTTTATTTATTATTTTGATTCTTAAACAATTCGGTACACAGATTTTCAACTGTTATAAGTTATAACACCATTATGATAAATTGTGTTGGGTGTTGAATTTCGTAATTTTGCTTTTAGGACTTTCTTTTGTATTAGGTATTGAAACGCACAGTCCACAGGTATTTTATTAGGTACATAATATTATACACTACGACGATTAGGTGTAATAATGAGTTATTTTACATAAAGCATAATTTTTCATATAGATTGTTATTCACAGTAATAACATACGACTATTTATTATTTTTACAGATATTAATTACATTTTCAATCCGAGATTATTATTGATTGTTTTTAAATGTATATTTTATACCTTATACTAATTGATACTGATACAATAAGTTTTTGTCCACCAGTCCCTTACTTTATGCTGATTAAATTAATTAATTTTTATATTAAAATTTAATAATAACAGTTAGTTATTTGTGTATATTATGTGGATTTATTGATAATTATTAAAATATGATATTTTCATCAATATTGTTCGGCTTCTTTTTAATTTGATATAAAAAAGGTGAGTGTTGAATAAAATTAGTTTTAATTCTAATCTTAAATTTTTAGAGTTGGTTTTTTTCCAGTTCACCTGTTATGAAATATTTTAAGTTTAAAAATGACAAATGGTACTAAAAACCCCTTTAAATAAATAGATCAAACTGTATAAAAGTATATTAGAAGGTATACAACATTTGGGTTTAAGTGTTTAGTTATAAAGTAATACACTATTCAAAGTTAACATATTACAATGACATTTTCATAACGTTTGAATTTGTTACTATCGTTAGTTCAAATTTGTAATTGTTAGTTTAACATTTAGAACGATAATTTCCAGGTAATAGTTATAAGTATTGTAGAAAGTGTTACCGTGAAATTCAAAATTAAAGTAGATTCGAAAATAACGAAACATTATATTCGAGTAATTTAAACTTGTGAAGAATGCTGATATTTTTTAATATTTGTTTTGATCCTCATCAAATTTTCAAAAATATTTAACATTTTTAGTAAAAATAAAAAAAAACATTGAAATTCTGAATATTAGTAATTATTAATGGTATTTTCCTTAAAATAAATATTATATTATTTTTTAGATTTCATTAAAGTGTAAATATTGACGGTGTAACACTTGAGCGTTTTCTTTAATTTTATATTTCAATGTAATAATCACGTTTGCTTTATATTTCAGTATGTTAGTTTGAACTTTCTAAATAAATTTTAATATTAATGTCTGGTCTATTTAATAAGAGGGAACATTCGTTCTCGAGTATCACAGCGTTTTGTTCGAAATCTGGAATCGAATAAATGTCGCGAAATTATTAAACTGATGATACACCATTTAGGCCCGTAATTCAATCTTTAAGTCATATCTCGCGTCGCATATTATATTCATCACTACCTATTAATTCGATACTATAGCGAAGGCTGCCGTATCTCTTGTGTTTACCTAATAAGTATTTGCAATTAATGACACTATTCACAAACAAGTCCCTTATAACGAATACAGGGAGGCAGCTATATATCGGCCGGCTGAAGATGTCAATTTGAAACATTGTTCGAAAAATCGATCAAAATTGAATTTCGCCGCACACTGCAACAACTATACTGTACAACTTTGTCGTCGCGCATGTGAACTATTAGCACAGTCGGTCTCACATTTAACGTTGAATTTCATATCATTATACACAAACCGACGTCATTTCAATATATACACTTTGAAACGTATATGATCGTTCTATACAGCAGTCATTTTCGAAAATGTAAATAACATTTAATACTTATTGATTACACGGAATATTATTAAGCGCAGGCACTACACTGCAGTATGTATAATATATAGGTATAGCGGGGAAAACGCGTGTGAAATCGTTCCTTTTCTCAGCTTACGACACAATATTTTAATTCCACCATGACATCAAGTAAAATATTGGGTGGGGAGTATGAAACGTTTTTATTTTTTGTTCAGTGTTAAGTTTTATTTAAGTATATTATTTTAGCTATGGAAGCGATTAAATCGAATCTCATTTGAAACCTTCGAGGTAACTTCGGCATCGGCCGTGGTGAGAGGGCCGAACAATTAACTCTCATCATATTTTACTTTCTGGAGCTAATTTATATGCTATGTTTATGATAATAATGAATTGTGATAAATTTGATTTCAAATTATTCATCGATTTCTTTATAAATTAATCTAATAATTTCATACATTGCATACGGCGTGTATATAATATGTATTATAGGCTCATAATCTATTATGATATCTCTTCCGGTTATGATTTGTTATTGACACTATTTTACGAAATATATTATCATTGCTTTTTACTGAAGATTTAAGTTGAAATTATAGGTATAGGGTTTGTTGTGATTTATAAAATATGTGTTTGTAATGTTTCTGTATTTTAAATAAATAAAACCGACACAAACAATTATTATCCATCGACACATGTTTCTACATAAATATGGCAATGAATTAGAGCACAAATATACGACGGTTGTACAGTTTTATAAACGATTAAAGTCAGTGAGTCATCAATTTATTACTGGTATACATAATAAGTAATAGATGTAACCAATAGTTATATAATTGTGTAATTTTGACTATTTGTCTAAAATTATTTATAAAAACTTTAATCATATTATTGGGGTAACCAAAAATAGTACCGAAACAATGGTTAAGACAGAGAATAAAATATTTTAATTTTCTAATATAATCGGTATTGGTTTTCAAAAACTCGACATGCGGAAAATACGTATTATTTATTATTACTGAATAATATACTGATGTTATTTCTTTGTCAGGTGTTGGATATGCAATATGCCTAATCGATATGTATATGGGCATGTATTATAACACGGTGATCAGTTGGGCGCTATATTATCTGTTTTCGTCGATGAGATCTGAACTGCCCTGGACCAGTTGCGACAACCCGTGGAACACGTTGAACTGCACTCCGGTGACCAATTTATCGGCATTAACCAACGTTTCGACGAGTCCAGCTAAAGAATTTTTCGAGTAACCTAATTTACTTTTATTAAACTCAATAATAAAAATGATGGATTATCGTTATAATAATGTTGAACTTTAAACGTGACATAATATTAAGTTAAACAACGTGTACTATACCCACGTCCACGAATGGGTGGAATTATCACCTTTCGCGTGTATCTGTTTTATAAATTTAGGTAAATACCTATAAAATATATACATAGTGTATGATGTGTGAAAACTGTTTGCAGGAGGAGCGTTTTGGAACAACACAGAGCCGATGGGTTGGATAGAATCGGTCCGATAAAGTGGTCGTTGGCGTTGTGCTTGTTGGCCGTGTTCCTATTGGTGTATTTCTCTCTGTGGAAGGGAGTGAGGAGTACGGGTATGGTAAGTATATTATATACTATTATAGTGTTGTCGTTTAAAAATGTTTCAACCAAACGCCCGCGTGAACACAGATACAAACGACCGGTGATCCCGTCATCCGCGGTCACCACTCGATTTGTGGTCTTATATGTATACCGTATACATTACGTACCTATACCATATAGTTTATTAGTCGAGGTTAAAAAAAAAGAAAAGAAAATAAATTTAAAAAAAAAATACCAAGTGTAATAATATGTCGGAACGAGCGTGGCGCGCAGTCAATCAGCCTAAGTAGTCGGCGAAGGACTTGTTATTATATATGCAGCGAGCTCGGTTCATTACCGATAAGTGTATATGGTACGTGTAGAGGTATATGGTGTGTATAATACGGTACGGTGTGGGGACGAAAAAGAATGCGTTATCGTATATGCTCACTGTTTTTAAAATCATCTGGCCCTTATATACGGTCGAGACTGACCGGCTAGATCGTGAGAGAGGGAGAGAGTGCAGTGTGATTGAACGCCGTTTCGCATCTACTACTCCCTTTATTACTCGTGTTTTTATCTCTTTGACGTCTAATGAATTATAGATTGAACCGTTGTGATTTTTCCCTCTTTATTTTCCTCGACGGGCTGGATCGGTCAGGAGACTTTTGATTAAATACGTAGTCGGACACCGCAAGTATATTATCGCAACGGCCGATAAAGTACATGACCCACGCCAACTGTACCTACCTATGACGAATCGTAAGACACACGAACCATAATAATGTTATGTATTGACTATGGCGTGTACTTTATATTCGTACCATTTATATGTGCATGATGCATATGTGATAATGTCGATGAATGACTGTGTTTTCTTTTCTTTGTTCAGGCTGTATGGGTCACGTCTCTCGCCCCGTACGTTGTATTGTTCATGTTGCTGTTCCAAGGCATCTCTTTACCAGGCGCCGGCGAGGGCATACGATACTATCTGACGCCGCAGTGGCACAAGCTCGTCAACACGAAGGTGCGAAATAATATTAATTATAAAGCGCAGAGAGGGTTTTCCTTTTTTTTCGTCCTCATCGGACGTATTTTTTCATCAGGTTTGGATAGACGCGGCGTCTCAAGTCTTCTTCTCGCTGGGTCCTGGATTCGGCACTCTCCTCGCCCTGTCCAGCTACAACAAGTTCAACAACAACTGTTATTGGGACGCCATACTCACCAGTTCGATAAACTTTCTCACCAGTTTCCTGGCCGGGTTTGTCATATTCACCATGCTCGGTTACATGGCACACGTGCAAAACAAGAGTATATCCGAAGTGGGAACCGAAGGTAAGTCTCGGGATGTTAAGTCTATAACATGTATTGTTTACTTAATTTCTTTTGACTTACAGGACCTGGTTTGGTATTCATCGTGTACCCGGAAGCAATCGCCATGATGACCGGTTCAGTCATGTGGGCCCTAATATTCTTTTTGTTACTCATCACATTAGGTATTGCGATTTTAAATTTAGTATTTTGTACCTGTTAATGGTGTGTTAGTCAGTTTTAATTTTTATGGATTTTGTTAAATTAGGTGATTTATTTCATTCGGTATGAATTCTATTGATATTTAATTCTTTTTTTGAATATTACAAAAATAACAACGAACATTGTATACTTTTGGGTTTAAGTATAGATATACTAACTGACTGGTATATATAATATTTATTTGACTACAGGTTTGGACAGTACATTCGGTGGTTTGGAGGCAATCATAACCGGTCTCTGTGACGAATATCCGAATGTATTAAAGCGACACAGAGAGTTGTTTGTTGCTGGTTTAGTAGCAGTGATTTATATACTATCATTGCCAACTACTACATACGTAAGAAACATTATTTTTGTGTCATACTTTATACTTAATAAGTAAATAAATAGTTATCGTTACACATAGCTTTCGTACTTAATTTTATTTACAGTACATATTAATTATAATACGAATATTTGTCTTCGTAGTGAGCTAACAGCTTAGAAATACTGAAATACTAATATTATTATGTGTATTTTTGATACTATAGGAAGATGTCCGTATAATATAATATATATTTTCGTATTGAGAAAAAAAAAAAACTCTTTCCATTTGAAAAACATTTCTTACTTTATCATTCGTAATTTGGTGAGAGTCAAAAGAAATAAACAGTTCTCAAAGTTTAAATTAAATTATATTCGGGTAAGAATGTTTTGAAAACCGCTACATGAACTCAGTCATGTTTTTAAATTACCAAAAATGATAAGCTGTTACCTTTTCCATGTTTTCACAAAACGTAACATTTTGAACATTGAATTGGCTTATTAGGTGTCAATAAAAAATAACAACGCCAAACAAATACCTTATCAGTAGGTAATTGATTTGTTTTTTTTTTAACTATAGTTATTATCATAATATTAATATTTAATAATGATATTATATAAACTATATAATAATTTACGGATTTTCGTTGCTCGTTAAAAACATTCAACGGGAATTTAATGATATTTATGAATAAGCTTGTTGTCAACAGTTGACATTTAAGTTACTTAAAAGTTAAATGTATATTTCAATAAACCGTGTATTTTACATTATTTTACATAATTTCAAGACTCTCAAAGCTACAATTTCACAAATTGTTAATAAATACTAAATAGTTTATTTCGATTTTACGAGTTGATGAAAGACACTTGTTTAAAGTCTTTTGAATACGACAAGCTTTATTATTTTTATATGCGTTTTTTTATCTCGTAGCTATTTTATAATTTTCAGTTTATTCGTATTTTTCGCGGAATATGTTTTATTGAGCGTACATAGATGATTACGACGTAGTGGATTTGAATTATAATATTTTTCAAATTACGCATTTTATCATTACCTATATTATAATCTCAGACAAGAATGAAAAACAATTAACTGATTTTAAATCTATGTTAATTTGAACTGTAAGTCAAATATAATGAATGATTTTGTACTAAAATATTTAATTTATTTTAGTTTTATTTTTTTCAAACACTTAATAGACTCTATAAATTGTCTACCAAATCACAATTAAATGATTCTAAATTAACAGTACAATGTATATCAGCAATCCACTAGTTTACTAAAATTAAATTGTTTATTGTCAGCAAACGCCAAACAATATGACATTTAGCGATTCAACCAATTTAGAATAAAAACTTTACTCGGCGCCTAAGTTAATTAATGTTCGATTATTATTTGATCAAATAGAATATTTCCTCATGCTAGCCATTTTAAATATAACTTCATAAACTTTGAAAATCTTTTTCATTAATAATAATAATATTATAATGAAATAAGGTTTTATATTCGATTAAAGTGTTCTATAATACTACTATGATCATAACTGTATAGTGTACTAATAGGTAGGTACTATAATAATATTTGGTATTACTATAATAATATACTTTATAGTTTATATGTACTATAATAAAACTATGTGATTCATTGTGTTATTTAAAATTGATAGTAATTTATGTTTTAATTATCTTATACAATACTGACTACTGTTACACTATATCTAGGTATTTAAATGCTGATTTGATTTAAACCGTACTTTTTTTAAAACGTTAGGTGAGCTGTTTATGATTCACGCAAACAAATTTTAAGTTAGAAATGTTTGTAAATGATTTTTAATCGAATGTTAGTTTATTTGAAATGTATTATCGCATTCTCATTACATTTAATATAATATACTTAGGGACTACCTATATATTTATAATTTTTAGTCTTGTGAATACATTTTTGTAAAAAGCGTAATAATATAAATAAATAATAATATTGTCTTATCTTGTGTTAAAACATTAAAATCTACACTTTACTCAAACAACGATTTATACAATATACTCATTAGATTATTATAAGTGCTATCTTTTTTTTTTTAATTTGAAATAAGCAATCTATACATTAGTATGCACAATAATGTGGTAAGAGTATGACAACGACTTGACATTTCGAGTAAGAAACCACCCATTGCGACTCTTAGCTTGATAAAAGTGCCATCTATGATTAAATTCAATAAATTAAATTAAATGGAAAATTATTTTCATAACATATAATATTATTGCAGAATTTATTATTAAACAAAGAACTTTATAGAGGAAAACAATTAACAATGGGTTGTCCTTATTTATTATCGGTCAATTTCACACGGACCGGCCGTTAATTTACCATTTGGAAAAAAAGGATTTAGTAAGGCAAACAATAAAGGGGTAGTTTCGTATAGTTAATTTAAATCGGTTATAATAGGTAAACTGTAAAAGTGTGTATTTTATTACAGATACAATGTTTTAACTTTACAAAGTATTATATTAAATATACGATGGTAAAATCGACAAAAAAATTCATTAATAATTAGTAAGTGCTAATCTATCACAAATGATCATTCACATTTGGTCATGGCAAATTTATCACATATAATACCCGTTTATCGTATGAACACATTGGTCGCAAAATGCTTTAATGAATTTTGAGCTTATAATAGTTAATTTGGTCTTATGTAGTATAATAATTATAAATTATTATTATTATAATTTTATATATTATTTTATCATATTATATGATTTACCAATTAATCGTTTTATTTAATTGAATGTATTTTCGTTAGATCAGTTTTATATTTGACCAAATTTGCCATCACTAAATTTGTACGATCATTAATTAAAGTACATTCGTTTAATAACTTACTAATTAATTAATTTTTTTCATCAGTTTAAGGCATTGAATACTGTATCCGTAGTAAAATAAAAAATTAACATTAAAAGAGTTGCAACGTACTTATTAGTAGGTACATATAATATAATATATTATATTACTCTTAGTAGGCAGACATTCTTAATTATTAAGATAATATTGTCGATCGTTATTTTATTTCTTTATCATGCTACGCCTATACCAATTTGATTTTTGCATATAAATGGCTTAAATTGACCGAGGCTGAATTTGTATGACTCATATTGACTGTATTCCTACTATACATAAACACGTCCAATGCAATTATTGTTTGTTATTAATAACAACTTATTATTCTTAATAAAAATAAAAAAAAAATTTGCCAAATGTTATGAATAATGAATGATATTTATATCAATAGACAATATATATTATCGAATGATATTTAAGATAAGTGGTTTAGAGGTGTACATAATATTATTAAATAAACAAACAATCAAAAATATGTTACCACAATATTTATGCTGTTGTGCACATAAAAATGAAAATTTATACGCGATTCAATTTAAACCTATGCTAACACGTTACCCCATCTTTTGAAACGTTTTATGAAGTTCTCCTCGTTTTGTATACTTACTGTGGCGTTTCTGCTGCAAGAGGTCTTAGCATGAGAATACATTTAAATACTCGAGAAACGACGACGACGGAAACGTATTCTATTGTACATTTACGAGCTTTTATCAATACGCGGTAACCTCATATTGATTATTCGTCTTCCTGTTTACCTTTAACCCGGTACCCATCATACACTATATATACCCCGGGCACTATAATATAATATAGATATATATACCGTCGCTGGTCTCGGGGAGATTTCAAGGATTACTTATTTACACCCGTCTCGAAGGATTTCGGGTTTTCAGTTTTGACGCGTAAGTGTTTGCCCCGTGCGGACCACAGGGGGTGGGTCAGCCCCCGGGGAAATCCACGGCAGTCGTCAATTATCGTTATATTGGTGTTTTAAAAAGGTGTTGTTCGATCGGATGCAACAAAAGTATATCGATATCATATACCTACGCGATACGTGTGGCGCGATACCGTCCGAAAAACCCCTTTTGCCGGTGCTCTAATCGTCCGTTTATTCCATCAGCGAATCCGTGTCCGGCGGGGGGGGGGGGTGCTGCACTGCCTGCCGTACTCGTTATTATACGCTGGCTATATAGACTTTGGGAATGCTTTTAACGGAGAAGTGGCGAGAGCAATAAAACGAATGTCGTGTATCTCGCGGCCGCCGCCTAAAGATCGGGGGGGCTCGTTGAATCCAATTTGATAGGTCAGAAGTTAGTGGCGGTCGGTCATTAATTTCCACCGAACGCGAGCGTACTCGACCGATTCGCTAATGGCCGGCATTAGACATATACACACTCCTGCTGAATGCTTAATATAATAATATAATATATATAATACGTCGGTGTTGAGCACAGTCATACATACACACCACCCCCGAGCATATATAACGTATAATATAGGGGAAAGGACTCAAACTGCTGCAGGAGGGGATTTGCCGTCGATGCAGCCACATGCGAGTGCTCGACGAATATAATATATTATTATTTTATTATACATATATATATATATATGTATATACGTATATGTGTATAAAACGTTTATATATCGAACACACTGCAGTACACGTCATAGTATATTATTATATATTAAACGGTCGTCGAAGTCTGGTCGTTGGGGGGGGGGGGGGGTGGAGAGTGAATTTACTGATAGTGATATCGATCTAGGTACTTGTATAATATTATTATGATATTTTTTCACCCGAAAAAAAAGTTACAAATTTCAGGGGTTGATCGTGACCGTGGGAATGTGTGTCTGAAGTTGTTTTTTAGATTGTTGTCGACGTCATAAAATATTCCACATGACGTTTATTGTTATTTTTTTTTTCAAACTTTCTTAGAATAATAAAATTGTTTTATACGGACATTTAGTTTTGCCGTTTTTCCAAAATATATTGCAAAATGACACGATATTATGCGTATGTACTTGTACATATTATTTTGTTTGGAATGTTTGAACTCGAGGTGCCAATAATAATTTATTGTTACAAAAAGATATTATCATCAAGCAACGATTTTTTTAATTTTGACATAATATCTATCTAATAAAAATATCTATAATATACGGGTACAATAAAATTACAATTAGCTATAAGTTATTTCACTGTATATGTTCCTATTCGATTTCAGTATTTCACTCTACAAATCAAACACTTAAACGTTGATAATTTGGGGACATTTTAGTACCTACCTATCTATAATACATTTCAATGTAGAAAATCATTGTCCCGAAAATAAAGATGTATAAAACAAAGTGAATGTATTAATAGTAAAATGACATGAATAAAACAATAAATTGTTCGAATCGGATACGTAAGTAACCGAACAAATTTAATTTTGGAGATTCTTGGTTCGTAGTTTTTTCCGGAAACTTGTTTTTAGAGACGGAATTCCGTTTTAATTAATATCCACTGTAAACCGTGAAATGTAATAATAATTAATTCTTAATTCACAAGATTATAATATCATCGACGTGTTTCATATAAAAACATGTTTGAATACGAATTTCATTTTGGGCGTCGGTCCTACTTGAGATCGTCTCAATGTTTAAGCTCGAAAGTTGAAAAGGAATTTAATTGAAAACAATAATTAGAAAACTGTTAATTTTCTTCAAGAGTGTTGCCTCCTCTGATTAATGTGCGTTATCGTGACCTTCCAGTGGCGCAAAATATAATTCGGACGTTTTGAGTAAACGTCATTAATTTATAATTAAGTTATAGCTTATATATATCGTGTATAAATATTAACACTTGAATAATCACACTATAATAATACATTACAGGGTGGAGTTTATTTGATCACATTGCTGAACGTATTCGGACCTGGTATCGCCATACTGTTCGTTGTGTTTGTCGAGGCAGCAGCTGTCTGTTGGGTGTATGGTGTGGACCGGTTCGCAAACGATATCGAAATGATGATCGGACACAGGCCTGGAATGTTCTGGAGATTGTGCTGGTGCTACATAAGTCCAGCGTTCTTGTTGGTAAGTCTGTTATACCAATATGGTGGGTACCTACAGATAATACATATTTTTTCATTCCATTAATTTTAATTTTCAAACACGCGTCTTCATAGATGTTCGGCTGTCCGGTTACTGAGAGGTTCATCGAGTTCATAATGAATTCGTTCGCATGCTTATTAAATTGTATACTATAGGGAAATTTTTCTGTACGAACATTTTTCCCGATAAAAATTGTTATTAATTGGGAAATCACATTTTTTCAGTTATTTTTCCTTAAATATAAATTCGACTGATTACTTTTAGGATTGGTTAACTATTGAAATCGTCTTGACAAATTTATTATTACAATAATATAATGCAATGGCTTGTATTAACGTTCACTTAACATTTGATAGTGGGTTAATATCGTCTCTTAAACACGATTTAATGGCTCGTTGTTGATTTATTACATTTTAATTAATGACTGTTTTTCCAAAACACCACATTTTTTCAATGATAATTTGTATGTCAATTACAATAAAAATAGAAGAAAGTAATCGAAAATTAATTTTTTGATTCCTAGAGAAGTGAACATTTTATTGAAATAGATTTATTTCGGTATTGAATCAGTTCAGTATAGTATAGTAATGTCACTATTAAGAAAATGTGACTTGCCTATTTCAATGGATAAAGTTATATAATTAATTGGTGTGTTATTGTTGAAATTTTAACACTTATACGTTAACACAATATTAATGTATTTCGATATAACTTCTTGACATTTCTGGCTATTTATGTATTCAAAAAACCGATCCAATAGAGGTACTCTATATTTTACTCTATTCACTTTTTTTTTAACATGAATAAAAAAAGTGATTAGGTGAAGCATTTATTTGTTTCTTAAACTTGAATATCTTAAGTGTCACAAAAAGTTTTAATTAAATATTATTGGAATATTAAATATTAATCTATCCTATATTAATTGGGTTTTAAGATAATATTTGTATTCCTTATGAATACAATTACAATATAATTAATTCTTAAAATCTGACTTTGGAAAAAAAAAGAAAACGATTTTATAAAATATCTTAAGTATTTATATAACAATAGCAACCTATCTAATATACATTTTTCAGATAATTTTTGTGTTCTCAATATTGGGATACAAAGACATGATGGCTGGAGGTTCGTATGTTTACCCGGATTGGAGCATTAATTTGGGATGGTTGATGACTGCTTCTTCGATCAGTTGCATACCTGCTTACTTCATTTACAAAGTATGCAAGACACCGGGATCATTCATGCAGGTTCGTTATTTAATTATTATTTTAATACTAAATAGGATTCATTGATAATGAAATTATATTAGTTAATACTTAATGTTGTTTAGTCAGTAATTAATTATTTTCTGTCGTTATTATTGTATGTATATAGTTTTATTTTTAATATATTTTTGGTGTATTAAATTTTAAAATTTATATATTTTACTGATATTTTAACGTTACACAATAATAGCATTAGCCCATTATTGACATTTTTTCGTTATATTATTTTGATGTAAATGCTAATTTAGTAATACATTTTTAAAACATACGTATTTGTCAGCGGATTTTTTTCTCCTGAAAATTAGATTCACGTTGTAGCGTAGCGATGACACAAACGACATTAATAATGATATTAGACGTAAATATTGATAATCGAATAAATCTGTCTTTCCGTTGACTCTTTCAGAGGATCAAATTGGCCATGAAACCGGAAGATCCGGAACCGGACGACCGGGGAATCGTGGCAATCGCGTCTGCTGTGCACGGAGGTGGCAGTGGCGGGGGCGGCGGCGGCGGCACGCACGTCTGATTGGAATGGCTCGTCTGACCCGGCCGACCACGACAACAACAACAACAACAACAACAGCAACAACAATAACAATAAAACATCAACAGCAGCAAAAGTCGCGGCCAACCAAAATGCGACGTCAAGTCGGGTTATTTCTGTCGCATACAATATTAATATGTTATCATCATACAATATATATATTACATAAATATAAAATATATATAAAAAGCCGGTGACGTCCGCCACCGGAAGTATACCGGATATGGCTATTGTCCCGTAGGATACGACGACTATTATTATCACAATAATCATATAATACCACTGCGCGTTCAATAATAATATGACGACAAGCGAAGACGAGTCGTGTGCGACTCAACAGGTGGCGATCCACCGTGTACGTAGTGTAGTACAATACATATTATAATATAATATAGCAGCTAGTGCCCTAAATAGTATTATTATTGTTAAGTAGTCATAGAGTGTGAAACAGATGTAGTGTAGAACGATGACCGCGATTCAAGTGGTTTATTTTAGGTATAGACGTGGTGACGAACTATCGTGCCGGCGGTAGACACATAATTTAGCAGTGTGAGATAATAGTACTATAATAACAATAATTAGCCGTCGAAGAGACGGTAAATGTAGTGCGGATATGATGTCTGAACATATTTTTAGGAAACTATGCGTGCTGCAGACACACTGCGTAGTTCTAGTGCGTTTTTATTATAATACAAAATATTATTATTATTATACAGTTATTAATTATTTATTATAGAACATAGTATTATAATATAATTATTTTAAGTCTTACGAAACAAAATGTTCTGATCAAATTATATTATTACCATCTGAAGTGTTGTACAAACGAGTATAATATTAATAATAGTTTATGTATAATATTATTTTTTACTTTTTGTGATGTATAATTTTTTACGTAATTTATCAAGCGTTAGACAATGAATATTATAATCGTTTAGTCCAGGTCATTATATCAATTATGCCTGTAGGAATGTTAATACTTAGTCATACACAATATGATTATTTAATATGATCATATTATGGTAGGTACTAAAATTACATTTTTTTTTATATTTTCATCGTCAAACGGCGGTGACAAGTATAATGTTTTTAGTCGTAAACTTATCGTATTATAGTCACGTGTGTATACATTTACTGCTGCATTTTGACTATAATAACGTGTATATTAGTCTTTTCCATAGTATCGTAGATTACGTTTTTAAAGTCTTAAATATAGGTACATAATTAGGTCCAAACGGAACGTTACCGTGTAGTCAAAGGAGCTTTATAATATCGTGTTCGAAAAATCGTGAATTTCTTTCGACAGAGTCGTTTGTTAAGAAGACACTATTCGGACACGATATAATTTAAAATTATTTATTGGATACCTATATTTCAGGTATTGTTATCAAGTATAAAACATACCCAAGTTAATTTACATTTCTTTAATACTATCGTTATTGCGACATAAAACAGGTTACAATGTGTATTTATTTAAATGTTATAATATTGTAGGTGTGTGGTCTGACACTACCAAACATAATATTGTAACACAATATACTACTATTATTTTTTATTAATATTATATTAAGCATAATCACAATTATATCAATAAATTGTTCAATAAATATTAAATCACATCGATATACGCTAAACAATTGCCATTTTCGAGTCATTTTCACAATACATTGCTCCATTTTATATTTCTAAACGGTCTACTAATTACAATCAGAATAATCCAATTGACCGATTAATGCGTCTAGCCAACGCCCACCCTTCATTTCTTTTGTGATCTGGTTTTGTAATCTATAGTTCCTTCTCACTTCTACTGCAGAACTCATACTATTTGTAAATACCTACTACTGTACTTTGGGCCAAGCCCGTATTTAATCATAATAAATAAACAAATACTCGGTTCAATCAAATTTCTCCAGTCAGCAAAACAGAATTATAGATTAGTATAGATTGGATTGTATATTAGAATTATTATAATAATCGTCTCATTTTGGGCTCAATTTATTTTTCTCCCACGAACAGGATACAATTATTAAACGTATTTTACACCATGCTCTTAGACAGTTCACTACGAATCGATTGAATTTGTTTTGATTTACCTTCCTATGTAAGATTTTAAACTGCTAATTCTATAACATTTCGACAGTCTTATAATTATATAAATTTATAAATATATTAGTGTTATTAAAATGTAGTACTTAAGTAATTATACTACTACCACTACTAATAATAATTGATATGTACTCATTAAATTATGTTACTATGGTCTGACACTTAATATTTATTATTACTATAACTATTATAATTATTATTAATTAATATTATATTAAAAATAATTTCATCATATCGCCAAGTCTATGAATATTTTACTGCTTGGTAATAGCTTGTAAACGATTATAACCGATTGCTAATAATAATAATAAAATTAATATTGTGTTTTCAAAATGTCTTCTAATGAAAATCCTTCTCAGTTCCTTGATATTTCTTGGTTATCTTATGTATGAAAAAAGATAAAATCTATTTGATAGTATATTATGTCTACTTTAACGTTTCCACTCTGATAACTTAAATTCATTTTTGTGCTGAACAATACCAATAATATAATATATAAATATTATTTAAAATGAATTCATACACAAATTAAACTATTGAAAATATTGTATTAAATAATCTTTTTACTCTTATTTTAACAATACAATTAGCCACATCGTTACAATAGTTTTTAAAATTTTAAACATTAAAATAAATAAACGAGTTTTACGAATTTATAACTAAGTTTATATAGCTTAAATTAATAAAAAAAAATGCATCATTAAAGCATCTAGTTGCTTTTCATACATCAATAAGATGTAAGTAACGTAGTTTTAGTTTTCAGAACTATTTTCGTCATCTGATTAGGTTTTATGTTATAATCAATACGACTAGTTTAAATTGTAAGTAGGTACCTGTAGGTACTTTATGCTAAATATAATATTACCTAGGACATTGTTAAAAGTAAAGTCACAATTTATATCAAACTATTGAAAGTATATATATTATTTTTAATATTCTTAGTGATATCTACTAGGATAACAACTAACAAGTATAATATACTATAGTTATAAAATGAGGGTTTTTTTATTTTTATTATCTTTTTCTATATCTAAACATATTTTATTTGTATAATAATTATAATAAAACATTTTAGAACTTATTATGTAGCACTGTCTATAAAGATAGGACATGAAATCTGTCCAAATAATACTAACGTTAAATAAAAACCGCTTAGAAGGATTGAAATTTTTACCAAGTCCATATTTCCATAACCATCTATAAAATGGTACTTGTTCTTATAAGTTATTGTGAAGATAATTCTAATGTATTTTTGACATTGTTTGTACAATTGACATAACGACTGAGGTCTAAGGAGAGAATTTGTTTTATGAACATTACACAGAAACACTGACGTTTTAGAAGTGGATATTGAAAAAAAAAGGCAAACCATTGAACATTCGATCCTGACAAACATCATTCATTTTTCAACTATATATTTCGTCGAATACAGCCAAAGTTTGTTAATTGTTTAATTGTTTAATTATTATTTTGTTTAATTGTTTAATTTTAACACTACTTCCCAGTACAATAAAATACAATAATAAACAAAATAATATGATAATCACCTAATATATTGACATTTTTATCAAAGCCAGATTTGTATTTCTCTCCTCGGTTTTTTTTTTTATAAAAAACACGACCCAGCTACTAAAATATTATAATCTACCAGTGGAGTACTCTATCAGTAAACGGCGCACTTAAATTTGTGAGTTGGTAAATTATGTTTTCTTCAGTGGGAAATGTAAAATAGATGGCGGGTGTCTATATAATATAGTATACACAATATGAATATTATTGTAAATATTGATTTAATCGTATACTTAAAATTGTCATGGACTTGTCAAGAGATGACATTTTTTGGATTGCTATTTGTTCTACTTAACAGAGGGCTACTGCAAAATACCTATAGTCAATATTATTATACGTCGACACACGGAAACATTTTTCCAAAGATGACCGATAGAATCGTTGGAAAAATATTTGTGCTGGGAAATTATAACTACGCTTCTTTTAATAATAATATTGTCCTAGAACTACGGTAAACACGTTATCTACATATTATTTTAAGAGAATGTCAGTGCACAGTTTGTTTTCTCTCTCTGGCCCATGATTAACATACACAAAACGCATATTTACGCAAAATTATTTTTTTATGTTTTTCAGTAATCTTAGAGTAAAATGAGTAATTACTCATTACATAAACTATAGATAATAATATTTTTGAGCGTATGACAAATCCATTTATTTAAATACTGTCTCAAAACAATTTAAATATCATTTAACTTACAGTTTTTTTTTAGATTCGTGTCTATCATCACATTTTAGGACATGCCTAGACGTTTTTCAACAGTATCTTTTCCGATAGGAAATTGAATTTAGTCGGTACATTGGAAGATCAAAAGTAAAAATTCTCAGTAGTTTTCAAAAGTGCCGGGAAAAACAAAAATAAAAGTTAAGGAAATACGGGAACTTTTACTCAAAATCGGTTATTAACAATCGGTTTTTTGGTGTAATTCAAAAACAAATATCTGTAGATACATGAAATTTACATGAATAAAATTTTATTTATTGAGTAAAAAGTGTGAAAATGTAATACAAGGTTCCTCACGCACTGTTACAATATATCAGTTTAAAATGTTAAAAATACACATGCAAGATTTTTTTTTACAAGAATTTAAAGTTCAAAAACGTATCATATGCGTTATAATAATAAAATGTTAAACCAGAGTGTTATACCCTAAAATATATTATTTTATTTTATTTTATTAGGTGTTTTTACTCAAAAATTACTCAAAAATCATAAAAAAGATTTTAGGTGAAAGAGTTTTATTTATGTTACTCGTGGGTCTGAAGAGAAAACAAATATTACACTGACATCCTCTTAAGAGGACGTT